AACGTTTTGGGACAGCAGATCTCTCTTCGATTTAGCCTGCATATGTGAAAGGTTGGATGTGCTTTTTAAGAATAGAGATTTTTTCTTAAAATGTAAAACTACAATCTATTAATAGCTCATTTGCTTCAACGCATTTAGTCAGTAATTTATATTCTAAAGTCAAATTTTGTGAGATAATTCATTGATGAGAATTTTTTTTTTTCAAATTTTTATGAGAGAACAAAATCAGAATCATAGATTCAAGTCCTAAAATCAAACGGGAGTTTAAGTATTTTTGTTGCTCCTTACCTAACGCAAATAAAGCACAATCAATAGCATATAAACTCGAAAGGAGATTTTTCATACAAAGCATATCTCCTTTAAAACTTAACTAAAAACTGCGTTATTTTCATTCATCACTAGCTGTCAGAATATTTTGAAAACTAGAACAATATTTTGTTATTTTTGAAATATTCTCTAATCAATAGAATAATATGGTTATCTTTGAAAGAGTAAAAATTCTTTAACATTGACGTCCCCATTAATTCTGACTTTCAAAGGGAGTTTGATCAATTCGTCTCCTTAATAGTTTAACAAGAATAATGTTGTTATTTTTTAAACATTCTCTAATCAATAGAGTTGACTTTTCTATCCTAGAAGGTACAAGAAAGGAGGTGAATGAGAGAGAGAGCTAGGAAGAAGGAGAATAATCAGGCCGGCTATTGGAAGCGAGTCTCTGGTCAACCGGCCTCCAAAATACACCATACGTTCTATGTTGGTTAATCTACACAATGGTGGAATCTGTGTTGTGTTTTCTTCTCTTTTTTTAGTCGTTGGTGGAATAAAGGCAATCATTCTAACAATGTTGGTGTTTGTTTCCCTCCACAACGTTAGATCTATGTGGGCTTTGGTTGTTTTTGTTGATTTTAGTTGTGTTCCCCCACCAAGCTCTAACATTGTGTGGGTTTTGTGTTGTTTTTTTATCCTTTGTATACCTTTAGCCACATCTCCCTCTTTGGCGAGTTTGAACTAAAAGAATACTGGCTTTCAAAGATTGGTCTTTGCAAAGATTTTACTACAGCCTCTTTGGGAGAGCTAACCATGGAGGGAGAACTAAACGAGCCGAGAGAAGTAGTGCTTCAAATTGTGTCCATCATCAGACCTTAGATCTCTGTACTAGGATGCAACAGATCTACTGATTTTAATTTGTTTTATTAAGTTTTCTGTGTTGAGTTCTCAATAAGCTTCATGCTTTGTTGATTAATGAAATGTTGTTTCGCATTAAAAATAAATAAATAAATAAATAAAGGAGGTGATCATGGATGAAAATGTCCACGACATCATCAGCATTTCCATGATATTATCTATATTTTGAAGTCTCGATATGAATGTAGGGAGAGAAAGATATTCTTCCTACCTTGTCCATAAAATACCCGCAATATCCAAAAAAATCCGTAAAATCGGCGAATATTTGTAAATATACAGGATATTTTTTGAAATGTCCAAAAACCTTGGAAATTTTTTTTAATAAAAATTAATTTTGTAACGCATTTTTTTCATATTTTTTCAATAAAATGTGACAATATGGTTTAAATAAAAAGAAAATATTAAGACTTAATTAGTTTTTTAAAATTTTTTACTTTTTAGATAAATCATTTATAAAAAGACGTAGTGCGGCTCAATTGAGTCAAATTGATGAGGATTCTATAGCCTTGAGTTTTGGTTTCATGATCTTAGGAACAAAGAAAAGTTCATATGGCTATCCATACAGTTCTCACATGGGATCTACTTCTAGAGTAGAAAACCAAGATGGTTTGTATGATACATTAGTGTATCCTCCACTACATATCAGTGTTGAAGTGTAATTACACATCCCTGAAGAATAGTCATCAAGTTCGATAAACCAACAGTATCCAATTTATGGGTTAATAATGGGAAGAGATCAAGAAACATATGTGTGACACATCAACAACCACGTTCAGAATTATTCAAGGATAAATCTTGGCAAATGTATTGTTTAGATTAAGATCATAACCTACCTAATGCTTTCTAACTTGCTAGAAACTCATTTTGGTACTGAAAGCACTTTAAGTCTGTGTGTACTCTGATTAGTGCATGAAAATGCACCCTGAATACTGCTTTTGATTTATATAATATTAAAATATTTAAGCTTTAATTAAACAATTCCATCATTTTTATTCATAATATTTTTAATTGGAATTTGTCTAGTTTTTGCTTAATTATTTACATATAAAAAGCAGTGTAAAAAGCTACACAAAAATAAGCCATGAAAGCCATGTTTTCAAGTTTCAACCAGCCGAGCCATGCCTTTTAGCCGAGCCGATCAGAGAGAGAGAGAGCCGAGTAGCTTAGCCGAGCCAACACAGCTCGTGGGCCCCACCACTCAGCGCAGGAATCTGCGCCTGTTTCTTCCCGCCATCTCACGCCTCGCGCGTCACCAGCACGCCGCACCTCACAGGGCGCGTTCCTTCAACACAGCCATTAGCGCGTGTCCAAGCTTCAATCCGCGTGGGTCCCGCATGACAGCAGCAGACCTGCTGCCTTCTCCGCGTGCGCCACCTGTCCAACGCGGGTCCTCCACTCTGACCGCGCCAGCACATGCCAACCAATCCGCGTGCGACACGTGGCACGTTTCTCTCATCAATGCCAATCTCATTTCGACACGTGTCCACTGAGTGTTGAGTCTGAATTTCTCCTTCAAAAATCAAAGCAAATTACCAGATTTCTTTCCAAATCAAATATATGATTCCTTCAAATTTATGTGTAATTTTATTTTGTTTCCCTTTCTTTTGTAATTTTCTATTTTTATTGTTTGTTTCCTTATTTGACAGGCAACCTCTGAACACTATAAATAGAGGGGTTAGCCTAAGGTTTTTGAAGCTTTGAATTTTTCAGTTTTCTGTCGTCTTGGTGTCAGTCTCATATTTTCTCTCTAGAACTTGTGAGAATGTTTTGCAAGCTAGGCTAGAGTTCTCTTGGTGATGTTAGAGATGAACTTCTATTGAGCGATCCAATTTAGAGTTTTGATTCCTTGTGCTGTAAAGTTCAACATCTGAATGAATTAAATCTCATCTATTTTTCTATTACTTTTCAAAATATTGTGTGCCAATTTTTATATAAGTTCAGTCACGCTTTTCTTATGTAATTATGTCACGCATTGTTTTGTCATTCAAATTATTTTACAAATTGTCTTTTACTGCAATATTGTCGAATTGATATATTGTCGATTTTAGATAACTTGTAATAATAATATTTCTGGAGTCAACATACAGATTTAATTTATTCGGTTATTTAATATTGTGAATCAAAACTTGGATTGGTGAACGAAGCATTAGGGATTCTCGACACCTTACCGTTTTCTTCATACAGATTTTCTCCTTTTTATTTTATTTGCAACAAAAATCTCAAAAAAACTCTCTTTTTTTTTAATTCACTTTTCTCTAACGCTCTTATTCTGTTAGTCTTTCTTGTTATTTTGTTATCTCTCTGTGGATATGACCACCCTTCTGTGCTACAATTGACCGCTTATGAATATTACTTTTGGGAGTTAATCAAATTTTGGCGCCGTTGCCGGGAATATGCTTCTAACAAGATTGATAAGTAGACTTTTGAGCCAAAGAAGTAAGTGCATTTTTTTAATATTATTTAATTTCTCTTTCTTGATTTGCGTGATCTGTCTTTAGCTCGTATTTAAAAAAAAAAATTGTCGCTCGTGTTTTCATTTGCTAATTTCTTTAGATTAGTTTATTCGTTGTTAAGCTTTTACCTTCTTTCTTTCCTTCATTTTCGTTTTAGGTTTTTAAAGTCTGTAGTCCATTAGTTTGTCTTTAATAAAACATATATATATATATATATATATATATATATAACTTTTGTACGTGAAAAAGAAAAAAAAAAAAAAAGGAAGTTTGGCTGCAGCCTGCAAGTTAACGTGCATTTGTTCAAAGTTGCTGCAAATTTTTTTTTTCTCTTTTGTCGTCCATTAATCGAAACCAAAAAAAAAAAAAGAAAGAAAAAGTCACCTTTTTAGTATTTGGGTACATTTCTGTAGTAAAGTCACCTTGTTGTTTGACCGTACATGTCTCATTTTGAGAGTGTAATAGTAGTTTAGTTTACTGCACCCTTTTTGTTTTTCATTTCCCGTTTTCTTTTTCTAACACAAAACAAAAAAAAAAAAAAAATCTCACACTTTTAGGACTTGTGTTTTAAAATTGATTGTGATTTGATTTTGTAATCTTTTATTTTTGATAAATTAGGATTTTATTTTGTTTCCCCAATTATTTATTTTAATTGTTGACTATTATATTGTTGCCTAATTTAATTTTTTTCTTTTAAGTCTTTATTAATTCTTAGGATTGTGATTAGGTTGTAATTAGTTGACTAATTTAGATTCCTAATTTAGGAATTTCATAATTTGGTTGATTTATGCTTTTGACTTTAGGAATAGTTTCCATTAATTAGATTACATTTCATAATTTACTCAATAAAATTTAATAATTGATTTTGAGAATAATTGTGTGGTTACGTGAAAAGTATAATCTAAGGGAGTTCTGTCTAGGAAAGTTGGTACTTAAGTGGGCCTCGCCCACCAATCTTTCCTGGGAACGTTGCTTTGTCTAGGAGACTATTCATTAAGCCAAGAGCTATAGTCTTTCCTGAGAGCACTCTCGGTGGTTACAATTTACATTACTATATAATTATTTTCTTTTTGATTAAAAATAAAAAAAACAAAAAAAAAATTAAAAATTAAAAAATAAAAAAAGGGCCGCTTAGGGTGAATGCATCGGTATAGAGACGAACTAGGGAGATTTGCTCAACGTCCAGATTTAGAAACCCCTAGTGAAATTCTATCCGACTCGTCTTATACGTCTCGGTCTTCGCACTCGTCATTGGAATTCGCATTTGAAAATCTATTCGCAATGGCACAACACGAGGAAGTTCAGTAGAGAACGTTGCAAGATTACTTGCCCCCAACGCGCACGGCCACCCCATCTTGCATCATGTTCCCACCGAATGCACCGCCTACGGATTTTAAGCCGGGCATGATTGCACTTCTCCCAACCTTTCACGGATTAGAGAACGAGAACCCCTATGTCCACATCCGGGAGTTTGAAGAGGTGGTGGCCACCTTTCACAGCCGTGCTGAGGCCACAAATACCGTCAGATTAAAGTTCTGTATTCTCTTAGGCCTAAGTCTGTTGGTACATGGGAAGAAATGATGACGACATTCTTCAACAAGTATTTTCCACACCATAAGACTAATAATTTAAAACGACAGATCTCGAATTTCGCTCAGAAGGAAAACAAAACTCTCTATCAAGCTTGGGAGTGTTTTAAAGATCTGTTAAATCTGTGTCCCCACCATGGATATGAAAGTTGGCGCCTCGTAAGCTATTTCTACGATGGACTCACAATCCGAGAGCGCCAATTTGTCGAGATGATGTGTAATGGGGATTTTCTCCAAAAGGATCCTGACGAAGCTATCGAGTACCTGAATGAGTTAGCTGAGAAAGCTCTTACTGGGACTAGACCGAGTGCTACTGAGAGCACCAGTAGGTCCCGACCAGTTGGAGTTTATCAATTAAGGGAAGAGGACAGCCTCAAGGCCCAAGTTGAAACTTTGACAAAGCAAATTGAGGCCCTCAAAAGTAAAGATAGTAAAGGACCTTACATGGTGGCAAGGACAGAGACACATGAGCCTTATTTAGTTTGTGGTGGAATGGGCCACCTAACTCAGAATTGCCACACTTTAAGTGAAATAAGAGGGGTATATGAGGAGCAGTGTAATGTATTGGGCACATACAAGAAGCCTTACGGACCTTTCTCAGAATCTTACAATCCTGGTTGGAAAAACCACTCGAACTTTAGTTGGCGAGATTCGAACCAACAAGCACAATCATCTGGAGGGCAATGGAGATCAGAGCAACAATCTCAACCACTAAGGACATATTTTGCGCCTCAGAATAACATGCAGCCGAAAGGGAATTCTCTAGAGGATACCTTAAAAGCTTTTATGGACGCGCAAAATAAGACGAATCAAAGGGTTGATTCAATGCTCACGCAGCTGGTGGAAGAGAACAAGGAAATAAAAAGTCAGATCACAAAGCTGACAGAAGCTTTAACCGTTCAAGAGCGCGGTAAATTTCCATCACAAGCCCAGTCCAATTTGAGAGGACAAAACATGCCTCAAACTTCCAACTCTGGAGGTCAAAATATCAAGGAAGTTAACGTCATCACTACTTAAAGTGGTAAGAATTCAGACACACCATCAACAAGTACTACCACTTTGAGTAATGAAGAATTGGGTCAGGAGAAAGAAGAGCCAACAAAAATTCCGGTAAAGGTACCCTTCTCCTAAGCTCTCCGACCTGCTGGGAAAGTGCCAGAAAATCAAAGTGAGATCCTAGAGCACTTGACACAATTGAATATCAATCTTCCGTTACTACATGTGATCAAGCAAGTGCCGACCTACGCTAAGGTTATCAAGGATTTGTGCACCATAAAGAGAAAGCACCACATCAAGAAGACTGCATTCTTGACGGAACAAGTGAGCGCGGTGATTGAGCAGAAGACACCGCCGAAGTATAAAGATCCAGGTTGTCCTACCATTTCTTGCCAGATCGGGACACATGAATTCGTCCAAGCATTACTAGACCTAGGATCGAGTGTGAACCTCATGCCTTATTCGGTCTACTCGCAATTGGGTCTTGGAGAGATTAAGCCCACATCTGTGGTTCTGCAACTGGCCGATAGATCCATTAAGAGACCACGGGGAATAGTAGAAGACGTTCTGTGATAAATCGACAGGTTTTATTACCCCGTGGATTTTCTTGTCTTGGATACACAATCTGTGGTGAATATGGAGTCATCCATTCCTATCATTCTAGGAAGACCTTTCCTTGCCATAGCAAACACACTTATCAATTGTAGGAATGGTCTCATGAAGATATCTTTCGAGAATATGACCCTTGAGGTGAATATTTTTCATATTCAAAAGCAACCACGTGATGATGATGAGTGTCACCAAATATTTATGATCGACACACTTGTCGAGGAGGGGGTTCTGTCGCAAAGCAACTCTGAAGATCTGGAAAACCTCCTCCAAAATTCTGAATCTGAGAGTTTCGATCCTTGTGAGGTGGCTAACAGTTCTGCCATTTTCAAAGAATTACGGGACAGAGGAACCAAGTTTGGGTCACCATGTTTTCAAGAGCTCCCAACAGAAGGAGAAAAACCGAAATCATCCACTGAGGAGGCTCCAAAAGTCAAGCTAGCCCAACCACCTGAGGGCTTAAAACGTGCATTCTTAGGAGATGAAGACATATTCCTAGTCATCATCTCATCTAAACTCGATCCATTGCAAGAACAACGATTGATCGACATGCTAAAAGAGCGCAATTCTAGGATCAAGGTAAAAATGAAAGCGGCTCATGACAAGCAGATCCTGAGGAAGAATTACTTAGAGCGGGTGAACCAGGTGGAAAAGATCATTCTCGACGACCCCGTTTACTAGCCCTGAGTAGTTTGCTCACATCTTCTGTACCATATTTTGATTTTTCTGTTTTGCTTTTTTTTTTTTACATTTTTTTATGTGTGTTTTTGGAGAATCATATCAGGAAGCTCATGCTGTGCTCAGCTCATGAAAGCTCATCGTCCAGGTGTCTTCTTTCTCTATATTTCCATAATGTTTGACACTGAGGACATTGTCTGATTTTGGTTGGGGGTGGTGAGCATATTCATGCGTAAGAGTGATTTTTGTCATGTTGATATTTAGGTTAAAATTTTTGCGAAGTTATCTTAGTATGATTTCAAAATGATTGGTTTGAGTCGATTTTTTGGTTACTAAGAAATGACTTCCAGAGTTTCTTTTTGCACGTGCTAAACCTTGTGGTAAGATGGATGTTAATGCATGTCAGCTGAGAAAATTCCTGAGTTTAAGTGCTTATTTTTGGTGAGTTAAGAGAGTTGAGAAAACGACTTTTGAACCTTCATTGATCTTTTGAGCTGGTAAAATCACTATTAGAACATCATTACATGGTTAGTGGTATGCTTGGTGCATATGCTTGACGGATGAATTTTGGGTTAGATAGGAATGATCTTATGTAATAGAGCCTCATTTATTATTTTTCAAAAAAAAAAAAAACTGAGCAAGAGCAACATTTCACAGATCCTATAGTTTGGTGTTATCACATTCGACGCTATATAGTTGTTTGTTAAAAGAACACCTTTCTACATTCACTTCAGGTTGTCTCTTGCCAAAAAAAAAA